ATATATAATAATATTATTAAAAATCGATTTTACAGAATTTACAATTTCTCTTATAATCAATTATAAAATGATTTCACAGCAACATAATTAAATTCTATTTAAAATTACAAACGAATGATAAAAATCACAATAATCACAAGAATCCAATAATCTGATTAATTCTCTTTTCTTCATGATTTGTGTCGAATTCTTATACATTTTTTCTCTTATTACAAATTTGTAGCTTCATCTTTTAGTGTCATTATCAACTATAATTGTTCAAGATATTGCACTGTTATTAATTATGATGTGAAAGTTGTTAATTTATCACATTGTCAAAACATAACGAACGAAAAAATAAAATATAAAACACAAGATCGTTAAATAATAATAACGGCATTTGAGACGTAGCTTGTTTTCAAAAGGATATAATATTTCTGTATTTTATGACCTATATGCATCATCATTCTTTTGAGTATTGTCATTTGCAAAGTGTGAAAAGTATTTTATAAATGTTACGTCCGAGCGTACTTTCGCATAGTGTAAAGTATATCAGTTTGTTTGCTTTTATCATGTACAAAGCTTACGAAATGATTTTTTCTAAGGTAATTTAGAAATAATATCTCCCTGCAACTGCACCTGCTCTCAACAGCATACAGCTTACAGCATAGATTTATATACATAGACTGCCTTTTTATTCTTTTTTATGACAGCTTTTAAGACTGAAAGATATTCCTCTTCCACTGTCTACAGGTATGCTATCCTCGTTGCATAGGAAGAGGATATTTAAAAATGAAGCTAGACAAAGATGGATTGCGACACACGTTATCTCTCTCTAACTCTCTCACTCTCACTCTCTCTCTCTTTCTTTTTCTCTGTAGTTACAGCATGCAGCCTCTTGAAGAAGATATTCAGTTTATGTATACAAGTCCATACATCACAGTGTGCTGGAATTACCTATTATTGTTTCTCATATATGCACATATGTATATACATTACGTCATTCTAACTTTAACGATCTCTATAACCTTTGAAATAACAATATATACAGATTATTTAACAATTTGTACTAATGACTTTCCGCCTTCAGAAATGCCCTCTCAAAATAACAAAATATTATTATCTCGTCTCGTGTTGTTACAATAATCTACAGTAATGCTTTATTGTTAACAATATTTTGTGCTTTCAGAATTCTTTTCTTCTCTTTTTCGTTGAACCGTTTTAAAGGAAATTTATATTGGCATATTAATTCATTAGTAGAAAGTGTCATTTGTGGCAAACTACATTAAACAATGGATACGTCATCTCTCGCGTTTTCGTAAACGTTAGATTCCATCCCGGTAATTTACTGTGTTTCTGTCCTCAGAAATAACATCTCTAAGTGTGTCCCGTATCGTGTCATGTGTGGCAAAGCTGATTCCAACTGCAATGGGACCCTTGACCCAATTCATGCTTAAGCTTTTGTAAAATGCCATTATTCCTTCTTCCCTGTAAAATACAAAATAACAGAGTAGTGACTCAACGGGATTTAATAATTTCGTATCTTCCTATCTACGGGGATAAGCAATTGTATTTGCAACAGAAAATAATACAAAATACAACTTCAGACTATCTATTGCAAGACCCCGTACATTGATTCTAATTCTTCCAATTCGCGGCCTGTATACTCACATATAAATTTTCACGATAGTAGACCTAATTGTGTGATAATGCTGTCCTTTGACAGCCGACGTCTGCATTCTTCGCCTCACGATGTCCAGCGGATAGCTGCTAGTTTGACCGACCATTCCAGCGATGCCACCACAAATGAGAGAGGTCGAGAATCCCGGAATAGACACCGTGTGCACTGTTCATCGACACGTAGCCATCATCGAACAAGAAGCACGCATGCTTCGAAATACGTCGCCGTTGTCGGGCTTGTTGTCTCGACAAGCGCGTCGCTATTAAAGAGCAAGTACCCAAGTCCCAATAATGGGGAAACAGACCCCCAATGTGCATCCACATTTGAGTGCACCCTACTTTATACTGTATATTTACTGCTTTTCTTTGCACGTGTAAATACCCACGTTCGGCGTCAATTCGTACAACTCGTGAATGAATCGCGCGACTCACCAGCCATAAAGTTTCTCAGCATGTCGTACGTGAAGAAGCTGCAACCGGCGTAAGGGATGGCGCCGAGAATCGTGGCGGTGAAGCCGCGGTAATACGCCAGGATACCTTCGTCCTTATAGATACGCCAAAACACCTGTCGCAACGTCCTATACTCGGCCTTTAGAGTCACTGCCATCCTAGCTCTCATCAGGTCCAACGGATAGGTCATAGTCTGCGAAGTTACACCCGCGAGAGAGCCGGCCAGGAAGCTCGCCCACGGCTTTTTCCTGCAAATGTTCGTAACGCATCAGTAAACAGAAGTGTGAATCGGAGGGACGCAGAGCGGCGGTCGTGATAGAAACTGTCCCATGTGTGTTTATTTCATCGTAACTAACATTATTGATACTCAAATAATATAAAATCAAATACAAAGAAGGAATAAATAAATGGGCAATTTCGAGTCAGACGTTGATGTTGAAGCAGTCCGTTTATACTTAATATCCGGATATGAAATATTTCGCGAGTCAACGGTTATATCAGCATGTATAACGCTGTTATGTGACTTTTATTTGATCGTACACAAATACCTTTCCGAACCGTTCACGCTCAGAATTCTCTTCCACTGCTCGTGCGCCGTGAATTGCACCGCGGAATATGGCACGATTCTAATCATAGTAGCGCTGTTGCCGCGCCACAGACTAAGGAGGCCCTCAGTACGCATAGTTTTGACTAAGAATTCTATCGCCGCCCTGGCCGAGTAGGGTTGCTTCGAGATTTGGAAGTTGATTTTCGTACGGTCTAACGGTGCTATCGTGGTTTTCGCAAACGCGCCTGCTATCGCACCGGACACCAAGCTGGTCCACACTCTCTGGCTGTTTGAAATCTTGTCCATCTGCGTGCGCGTTTTCTCTTCGTTCTGCAATGTGAACGTGCGCACGTGTATCATCATCGCGTGAGATAATTTACGGTACGGTAATTATATGATATCGCAAAGTTCGCAATTGATAACGGGATTTATAATTATCGAGTGTAACTCTCCTACTATTATACTAATATCTTTAACAACATGTGATATGTACTGATATCTTTAACATCATGTAACATGTAACAACAATAATTATGCACAATTTGCATCTCATTCGAAGTATGCATCAGGTCTGCTCTTTTAAATTAGTCGTAGAAAGTCGCACCAACTTGCTAAACATATTATCTTACCGTAACAGCATTTTGCCTATCCATTGGGGCAGCTGCTGTGACGGACAATGTCGATGCGGGTTTCCCGGCGATCGGCAGCACCTGAAGGCGCTCGAGAACGGCTTGACTACCTTCGACAGGACGGGCTGCAGCATGCCCGCTCATCTATGGCGCACTTAACTTCGTTTATAATGAGCTCTCATGCAAATCGTCTCGCCTCGTCGATGTATGTACATAGACTGGTGTAGTACTGCAAACATATTTTGACCCGTTAAATTTTTTTTCATTTTTCTCTCTCCTTTTCTCTATCTATTTTATTCTCTTATCTTATGTTATTGGCTTCTTATGTCTTTCTTATGTCTTTCTTGTCTTTATGAAAATATTGCACCGAGATTCCTACAGAAATGCTCAAAGGTATATAAGAGATTTATTCTTTCTCAATTAATATTATTCGTTATCATAAAAGAAAATATTATTATTTGATTTCTGATTGTCCTTAAAAAGGATAAATATGAGTTAAGCAATTCGATCAATCATTCGATCTAATAAAATAAACAGTTTTACAATCAGTTTGATAAAAATACGATGTCGGTTACGCGTCGACAGTTTATTGTGGTGTAAAATGTAAATATGCATGTAAGAAAGTTAACGTTCTGTAGATTATATCGATGAATAAGAAACAGATTAGATGAGCCAAGTGTAACTGAAAACTGAAGGGCTCAATACACACGTTCATTCTTTTTTACAAAATACAGCTATAAACATTCTGATTATACACAAAAGAACTGCAACGTCCGTAAAACACACACATATACACACAATATTATTATTATTATTTCCTACGATATATCTCAATAAAACATTATTAAATCCGCGATCTGTAAGCTAATGCAAATAATAATAATGAGACGACGAAAATGCTGCAATCCTGTGATAATAACGCACAAGTTATCAAACGTCAAGTATTAAAGTAAATATTTATATAAGCTGCGACATGTAACTTAACGATCGCTGTGTAAATAAGATGCATTCACGCATTAATGTTTGCGTTTATAATATGACGTGTATACGTGGCGATAATATTCACCTTTTTATACGTCGGCACACACGATCGACACGTCTACAAATAGTTTTGTATCAACAAGAATTCTGTCCAATTATATAAGACTGTTGGATATATATACCGTCATTGCACCATATACGATATATATATACCGTCATTGCACCATATACGATAAATTGTGACTTTGAAGAAGATATATACAGATTGTAAATGAGTAATTTCGCCCACTCAGCTTTTTCATCTCTATCTATATTTCTTTTATCGGATATAGTACATAGTAATAGGGCGATTAAAAATAATCTTATCTATCATGTTACTAACTTCAAATAGTGACAGTGACATGAAAACAAATAAATTCGTAATAGCAATTCTCATACTCTCATCACGGAAAATATTATTTATTACTATATAGTATTTAATTAATTTTATCTTATAAATAAAAAAATATATATAAATATATAAATCAAAGCACACACACACACACACATATACACACACATTATATATACATATATATATACATATATATGTATATATATATTTATTTATTTATTTAAATAATTAACTTTCGATAAGAATAAAAAATCTTTAGAAAGTTCTACCTCACTGGGGAGATAAACGCCTATTTCTTAAAGAAATAAAAGGCTATCTCAGATAATAGTTTTACAGACAATAGGGCTGAAAAAATTCCCCGACTCCGATCAAAATTGGACTTTCTTCTCGAGCACGCGCTTCTCGTGTATCATAATGCGATAATCGCCACGTGTTTCGAAGGAACAAATAGTAGCAGATGTTTTAATTTATGCACAGTCACGCAACGAAATAGCAGCCGTGACATATTATAACTACGTGACATATTATAGTCCAAACTATATTAATAGTTGTCATTTGAAACTTGTCTCATAAGATACCCAGATTTTAATTCAATATTGGATCTGAATTTTTCGGTTGAATCATATGATATATTTGACAGTAAATTTTTGTAAACACTATTCAATTGAAAAATTCACATCTAACTCGAAATTTAAATCTGAGTATCTGAGTATCTCATGTGACACAAATTTTAAGTAACAACTATTAATACGGGTCTATCATATATATTTTTATATATGTATATAAATATGTACAGCATAGATATGTATCTCTGAAGAGAATGGAAATGTTTAAACTATTGCACCAATATGTTAGTTATTACGACGAAATTTACCTAGCCGTTTTACAGACTCGTTAAGTCTTGACGACATACTTGTTTACACATATTTTTTCGAATAAAAATGTGTGCAAGGCCAAAGCGCCAAGACTGAATCTATGCACGAGCGTGCGTCTGCAGGCGAACAGGTAATTTATGGTAATAATTACCTATATAGTGCAACAAAGTCTCAGAAAAAAAACGAATTACAGAATCTGCACCCGCTAACGCGCGACTTAAAAGTTGGTGATTTTATTAAGACTTTTACGGGACCAAGCGTTTTATTTTATCAAACGAACCATGTTAATATTTTTTATTAATTCCATAATTCGATGTTTTACCGATATCACAAATACAAAATTTTAGTTAAAGAAAAATTATTAATTTATAATATTGATTATAATATTTATTGATGTACTTCGTTGATATATTTTAATATATTACTAATATTCCAAACATATTTAGTTGATTATTATTATTCCATTATTAACCCTTTGCACTCGAGGGTTCCGCTCCGGAGCCCTCGAGTGCAAAGGGTTAATATCGAACTCAAGCTATATTATATAACAAAGATTTTATAATTCGTTAGAGGCATGTGATACGTTAAAAATAACTTCACAGAAGGATAAAGGTCAGTAGCACTGAATTAGCATTGATCATTTAAATTTAACTCAATTTTTCTCTCTCTCTCTCTCTCATTTATTCTTTCTTTTATTTCCCCCCTCTCTTGCTCTTTCAATATAGTTTAATATATTTTTCTACTATGATATTAATTAACGTATAATTAATCTTAAAAGCAAAAGGATAACGCTGAATCGAATGAAATCACGTGAAACTCCGCAGTTACAAATGTTATTTTAGAAAGTGATGTATTAGTGATGTCGCAAATTGCTTAAGTGTTCTATTCCCTTAAACGACCTTATACATTAATTTAAGAAGTGAACCAATTAAGATGTCGACACGAATTGCCCGGAGAATCTTGGGTGACGCTTCGAATATTTAATTTACATTACATCCACTGCTCGTTCTACAGAACGATTTAGCGAAGGCCGGCAAGAAATCAGCTGAGCGAAGTAGCATGACGAGACGGATGAGCGAGAAAAGATGTGACTGACATTCCGGACATGCGTTTTGCGCAATCGAGTAAGCACCGCACTCGGCATATCTCAAATATGTATATTCGTATTCGTTGGAACACCGTGATGATGGATTCACGTATAACACGTAACCTACGAAGTTCTTTCAAACGTTTCTTCCATTTTGCCACTTTTTTTTAAGAATGGAAAACTGACGCGAGATGTCAGAGAAACGACATTAAGCTTGGAATAGCCGGAAAAAAAAAAGGAGAAGTCAACAGTTATCTGATTGTTCTTCCTCGACAACAGATCATTAATATGTGTTGTGAATAATAATGCATTATGAGGGAACCAACTTCGTTGTCTGCGTCCAAGACACGATCGTGCTCCGAACCAGGTCCTCGTAATACATCCACACTCGCGACAATTTGCAAACTAACTGCGGGTGACAACGAAAACTTCAATTTCGGAGCTTCCGTGTTCTCTCGGCCAGATGGCAACATAGCAGCGGTTGTTATGCGTAGTCTACAATGAGCAGTAAGAGTATGTTTATAAGAAATAATAGTAAGAAGCTAACCAATCATAGTCGATTATTCTCCTTACATTCGACTATGATTGGTTAATTTCTTATTCTTACTTCTTATAAAAATACTCCTACTGCTCATTATAGACCATGCATTAAGATCATCTATCGGACGTGTTGTAACATCTACGAGCGCCATTTCACTTGTCGTTCGATGTGTCTGTCAGATGCATCGATTGGTTGGATCGGATGCCAGCTAGTAAGTTACTAGAAATAACCATATAGAACGTGGCACAGTTTGCAAGAACCAATAGAGCGCGTGGCAATCGATGGCGGTGTTCAGCGAACATGATAGTTGAGTTGATCGACTTGTGGTCGAGTGGAGGATGGATGTGATTGGCAGATCTAGAAGTATACACCAATCATAAATAATTGTACTCAGTTATTATCAGTCACTCGAAAAGAGGGGGATTCCAGTCTTGTGCTCAATTTAATTCGCGGCTTGCATTTGTCGCTTCGTTCACGTCACGTATGATGTTAAATCAATCGCCGGGAGGTAAAGTTTTAGTTTAATGTGTGACGAAGTGTAACGAACGTCAATAACCGTGCGCGCGCGTTTCCGTGTGTACCCTGGACTCTAGTGTGTAGGTGTGTGCATCGACATCTTTTAAAATATTTCCATTGTTAAGGTACGTGTAAACATATCCTGCTACGAATTCGCAGGTTAGTACCGATAGAAACTGCTGCTTTGATTAACAACAGCTTTGTTTTTTTTTGTTGAATTAACTAATGCTGCAATTGAAGCTTTGTTCATTTGCCCTTAACGCTTTAGGTTATATATTTGTTTCCCTCTAAAGACAAGAAGCATAACAAATTAGCTGAAATAATAGACCTAGTAATATATACTGAACATGCAAACTCTTATCTGTATCATTGCAAATTACAAATCTGTATTTCACTGGAATGGATCATAAGAATTAACTTTGTTTCAGATATTCAACATGGATACTAAAACTCTTCCTAGTCTCTTAAGTCTAAAAGTAGCTCCTCCGTCGGAGTTACAAAATCAAAATATTGACAACGGAGTTGTAGAAGGGGACAGTAATTCCGTCAAGCTTCCGGCTGCATTGGAGCAAGCCTTGGCGTTCAAAACAGAGAGAGCCAAGGAAGTAGGTGGGGATCCAAACGACGTACTTGCAAGTAAATCACCGAAGGATGACAGTGAGGATGTCCCGCACATAGAGGACGTCATAACGGAATTGGAGACGTCCACGGAGAAGATAGAGGCGAAAACGAGCAAGATGAAGAAGAAGAAGAAGTCGAAGAGGAAGAGGCACAACTTGGATAGGAAAGATGCAGAGCAGAAGAAAGATAACGCGGATGAGGCGAAGAGCAAGGATGATATGCCTGAAATAGAGTACATACAAGAGATACCGAGCATAAACGACTTGGAGCCAATGTACCGTCAATTCGCTCGGGTCTTCGAGGCTTTCAAACTGGTGGAACCCGAGCCGAGTCCGAACGACGCGGCCGACAAGGGTGAACCTATCGGGCAATATCCGCCAGTAGCCAGTATACAGACCGCCGGTAGCGTGCCGAACAAGGTGCCGCTATTGGACGACTTCGACGACGAGGCGAATCAGCAGCAGCAGCAACAAGGCACCGGCGAGAACGGCACGCCGCGCCTGTCCAAGCGGAAACTAAAGCGGCTCACGCGACTCAGCGTGGCGGAACTGAAGCAGCTGGTGGGTCGTCCCGACGTCGTGGAGATGCACGACGTCACCGCGAGGGACCCGAAGCTGCTCGTGCAGCTGAAGGCGCACCGCAACACGGTGCCGGTGCCGCGGCACTGGTGCTTCAAGCGCAAATACCTGCAGGGCAAGCGCGGCATCGAGAAGCCGCCGTTCGACCTGCCCGACTTCATCAAGCGCACCGGCATCACGGAGATGCGCGCCAGCCTGCAGGAACGCGACGACACACGCACGCTGAAGGCGAAGATGCGGGAGCGGGCGAGGCCGAAGCTCGGCAAGATCGACATCGACTACCAGAAGCTGCACGACGCGTTCTTCAAGTGGCAGACGAAGCCACGCATGACCATTCACGGCGACCTCTACTACGAGGGCAAGGAGTTCGAGACACGTCTGAAGGAGAAGAAGCCGGGCGAGCTATCGGACGAGCTGCGCACCGCGCTCGGCATGCCGGTGGGCCCGAACTGTCAGAAAGTACCGCCGCCGTGGTTGATTGCGATGCAACGGTACGGCCCGCCACCGAGTTACCCGAATCTTAAGATACCCGGCTTGAACGCGCCCATTCCGGAAGGTTGCGCGTTCGGTTATCACGCTGGAGGTTGGGGCAAGCCGCCGGTCGACGAGACTGGACGGCCTCTCTACGGCGACGTGTTCGGCATCTCTCGTACGTCCGGCGCGGATGCCATGGACGAGGAGATAGACCGCGGTATGTGGGGCGAGCCTGAGTCGGAGTCGTCGGGTGACGAAGACGACGACGAGGACGGCGAGGAGGGCGGCGAGGCCGGCGAGAATGACGGCAAGGACGCGGATGGCGATGCGAGCGGCCTGGTTACGCCGGGTGCGGAAGGTCTGATCACACCCAGCGGTATCACGTCGATCCCGGCGGGCTTGGAGACGCCGGAGACGATCGAGCTGAGGAAGAAGAAGATCGAGAGCGAGATGGAGGGCGGCGATACACCCGCGTTGTACACAGTGCTGCAGGAACGTAGGACGGAGGGTCTGGGCGCCAGCATGATGGGCAGCACACACGTGTACGATATGACAGGCGCGGCAGGTGGCCAGGCGCCGCCTTCCGTCATAGCTGCTCGTCGTGGCGGCGCGATCGGCGCTGGCGGCCCCAGCGACGTCGCTAGGGCGGAGAAGGACGGCGCGGTGGAATTGACATTGGATCCCAGTGAATTGGACCTCGACTCCGAGGCGATGGCGTCCAGGTACGAGGAGACGATGAGGTCGAGACAGGCGCATCTGAGGAGGGAGGATCTGTCGGACATGCTTCAAGATCACGTGCAACGGCAGAAGGTACGTAATCGTGTGGCAAGTGTACAGGGTGTCCCAGTTCTCGCGACGTTCATTTTATCCTGGAGTCCTCAAAGCGATTTAAATTTAATTTTACCTCGATGGAAGTACTGAGATGCGAATAATTTTCGAGATTCAAGCGATTGAAAAAATCAAGCTTTTTGCGAATTAAGTTCCGAGCGACCAAGTGAACGACACAATGATTTCCTCTGATTAATTTTAAACAGAATTTTAATTTGAGACTGAGTTACATACACACACGTGCGCAAAGATATATTATATTGTTTAAGAAATTGTCACAAATAATGACCTCTTTCACCGATTTTTTCTCTGAGGAAAAATTGACTCTAAATTGTGCTCAGATAATTTCTCGGTAAAATTGAAGTCACGAAAACTGGGACACTGATAGAGTGACACTTTATTTCTCTGTGTCTGTAACTAATGTAAATATGTTAAATACATGGAGACACATTATCATTGCCTTAATTCGAAACCGAGACATTTTATAATATGGAGTCATCCGTTTCTGTTTCAGAGTAAACGCAAACGCCAGCAAATCCAGGATACAAAGACGTCTAAGAAATATAAAGAATTTAAGTTTTAAAAATGTCATGTCACCTTTCCGATCATGTAATAATAATAATAGTAATAATAATAATCTTTATTAATAGGAAGCGCCTTTTGGTATACGAGAATAATTTGAAAAGTTTGGTAAAAAAAGCAAGTAAAACACGTTTTTTGGAAAAAATCAATCCTATTTTTCAACATAATCTCTTTTGAAAACTACATATTTGGTCCGACGATTTTTCAATTTTTTCATCCCGTTTGAAAAATAGGTTTCGTTAAGTTCTAAAAAATAGTAATTAACGGTGACGGTGATATCCTGATTCGATGAAAATTTCTCCTCATTGAGCCAATTTTTTAATTTCGAGAACAGGAAGAAGTTGTATGGGACCAAGTCCGGAGAATATGGTGAGTGAGGAACCAATTTGAAGCCCAATTCATGCAATTTTGCTATTGCGACGGTCGATGTGTAGGATAGCATGTTGTCCTGATTCATCTAACGCACCACCGATTTTGGAATTTCTTCGTACTAAATTTATTAAGAAATCCGTTATATAATTTAATTTTGAGATGTAACCGTACGTGAACGAGCGGTTGTCTGAAATGTACATTTTTGAATTACAAATTAAATAATTACTTTTAATTTAATAACTTACCACGTTTATAATTAAAATTACACGATGTGCGTTTTCTGAGGGGCTAAACTTACTTGGAACTGTTTCAAATTTACCTTCATAAGCGGATACGAAAGACACTGCAGTAATAATAAAAGACATGGAAGGGAAATAGCAATTATAAATTTACTGATAGCGCTACCGATATCGAGCCAACTGCCGTACGGCGTGACGGAGTACATTAAAGGCAACGACAGGCAATCTCCCAGGAAGAGGACGGCCAAGGAAATAGACTTTGTTCCTAAAGCATGATTCGCGCAGCCGACTAATATTAAAGGAATGCTTAGTTTAAAGAGTATCAAGGATGTCATTAGAAACGGGGAGAAGACGGTAACAAAGTGGCGCGTCCAAGACGGGTCGAACGAGCTGATACTCGCCATATTACCCGTGCCGAAGAAACACAACAGTGTGTATAACATCTGTAATAAAAACGCGTTAAGGAGATATAATGAGATATAAGAAATGATCGCGGAAATTTAAAATTATCAAGAGCAATATCTGCTGCGGAATAATCGTATTATTAAATAGGCGAATGGACGAAATAAATTTAAACATAGAAAAGGATACGAAAAACGCCGCTTCGATCAAGTCTTCGGTGATCGTCGTACTTCCTTTCGAGTGTTTCAGAGCAGTCGGAGAAGTTAGCGTCAGCCAACAATATAAATTGCCTGTCAGCGTCAGCAAGAAAAGTGGCTCGTAGGACGCGGACAATAGCGCGAGCGGGCAGAAGAGTCCGAGTGTAATGCCCAGCATTCTTGCCTTGACCTCAGTCGGATACTGCCAGATGCACAACGGTGTTGTCAGTAGAATAACCCACGACACCAAGTGTCGACCGTCGATGAATTTCGTGTACACGAAACCCGTAACGACTAAGCGCAGGATCTCCATGATTCTCCGACTCCGCGAGGTCTCATGAAGAACCACTATCGAAATGGTCAGGCATATGCTGATCATTCTGAAACCATCAATAACGACATTACGTTGATATCCTTCAGTTTCACTCGACTATTTCAACAATAATACGCAAGATAACTCACACGATGTAAACGCGTGGATACGGTTCCACGACTGGCAACAAGGGAAACACGCACAGTGCCAAGGATGTCGAAAGAAACACAGGGGACTGTGCATGTTGCGACTGCACCCTCCGTATCAATATGGTAGACAGCATACCTATGCTGAGGGCGAATCTATATGTCAGCCCGATATACAGTATCGCCAGCAGAAATAGCATGCCTCCGATCTCTACGAGAAGTTTTCTCTTGTTCCTTACTACGAATACGGGTGTTGACGTGATCACAGTGGTGACGGCGATCCAAACGGATATTATAGCGAAGGACGCGTAACACGGCAGCCTCCAGCTACCGCAGTTGGACACTATCGATCGAAGTTGGCTCGTAAAAGTGTTCATTTTTTTTTACGGGTATAAAATATATTTATATTTCATATTGTTACCTATGTGACATATTAACGTTATTATCAGTAGACTCGCGAATCCGATGTTTGTCAATAACAGCAGAGAAATTCGGCGATATTGACGCCTAACGCCCGCTATCTTCAGGAATAACACAGTTATCCAACCGAACCACATTATCGACAGATAAGTCAATAATCGTGTTCGCTGATACTGCCGGAAATACAATAAGGCCTCCTTGGCGAAGATGATTGCTGCGTCACCTTCGCGGATTCCCTCTGCCACTTCTCCTCGATCGAGGTGACGCTCGATCTTACGAATTTTGCCATTTAATTGCTCTTCCCGCCAATCGGTACGACCACCGTTTCCGCAATTTATCGCGCGATTTCCGCCCACTTGATGCGCAAGTTGCTTCACGTTGCCGAGTAAAGCGCGTCCGATGTATTCTTGGTGATCGCCATCGAAATATCGCCATGGTAACAAACCCTGTAAAAAAGTTCTGTGTCCAGTATATTTCTTATTATTAAATTACATAGAATATTACTGTTAGCTAAGAAAAGCGTATATTATTAAATATCGTTTATATTATAAATTAGTATAATTTCTGAGACTGCTTACTTGACAATTAAATATTATATATAGGATAGCAAAAAATTTGCTTTATTTCATATACAAGTATGATTCAAAAGAGAATTAGAATTACGAATGACTCACTTCGTTATTTGTAGGGATAGGAATCCCTGCTAAAGACGCTATCAGAGGAGCTATACTCGCTTGTTCGACATCTTGGCGATATCCAGACGACTGTATTCCAGCTCCCCAAATAATCAATGGCGTTTCGGTCTCTGACGGCAAGCCACTTCCGTGCGATCCCCAATCGGTCATTCCATGATCTGCCGTAAACACATAAGCGGTAGTGCCTTTTTCAAAAAACCTTTCTGTCACATTAACGATCTCTCCGATCCTTCGATCGACATAGTTCATGTTTTCCGTGTATTCCCTGCATATAAGGTTCCCTTCTGATTAATTTGCAATTCTACTTCCCAAATAACAATTTTATCAGATGAATCTTGAATACCTGGAATATGGCTTTTTAGCGTGTCCCAGGGTGTCACATCCGAGTAGATGAAAAAAGAAAATAATTCCGTTCTGATCTCTCGCGAGATCGGCTACAGTCGAATATAACCATTCCAAGTAAGCGTCAAACACCCAGGAGTCCAGCCGTATTGTCTGATTACTCAGGTTTGCATCAAAGTCTTGCCACGCAGATGGATAAGTCTTTCCATGAACATTCTGTTTACTACCTAACTTTTTGCGATTTCGATATAAGCACAAGAAGTGTCAAAAACATCAGCAACATCATTATTTTTTTTCCAGAATACCTCTTGTGAATATTGGAATTATATCTGGACTGCCCCAAGCCCAAGTAGAATAACTTTGATTAAAGACAGAATCAAAGTCTACTGGATTTTCCTGCCATCCTTTAAATATTGCACTAGGATCTTCGTATAGTCCTGCGGCGATTGCAACATGGCCTGGTCTGGATTCTGTAGGTACTCTTGTATGAGATATTCCCCAAACACCTTCATTCCTCATTATGTTTCTACGAAATAAGTAAGATAAATTGAAGTAATTATTGAAGTAAAAATAATTAACATTATTATTGGTATTTTGACATATAAAATGCTTGTTAATAAAATATAAAACAAATTCTTGACTAGTAATGATAATTAAAAATTAAATAATATTCAAATAATAAAAATGAAATTTTTGTTATATCATTGAAGAATATGTATGTGTGTGTATATAAGCACATTCAAGTTATTAAAAAATACCTGAGATAAGGTGGTGGCTTATCTATAAATGTTTGAAACCTTAGACCATCTGCCACGAAAAGAAACACTCTTTTAGCTGGCGGTCCATGCGGTGCCGCTACAACTGGTAATTCTTTAATAATGGGTGAGTGGAAATTAACATCCAGCACACCCCATAATAGGATTAAATGCACAATTAAGCCCCATAGACCGAACAGATAATTGCTGCTTGCTTTGATCCACGGTTTAACCACGTCATGTTTTTCGGAATCGGGTAATCCGCGATTCGGGACGTCAAACAACTTTCTCGTAGGCATTTTCAATAAATTTCAAACTTTACAGAATGACACATGATCGTCGACTGACACAAATGGAACGACCTATTCACAGCCGTATCGCGTGACGCGGACTAGCTCTTTGGTTATGAACAACGCATAGCAGCAAGTACAGCACTTTTTGTACTTACTGCACTTTTCTCCTCTTCTCCTTCAAATCCTAAATATGTACATTGACCTTCAATTAGCGAATCTTAATTCCGTCACGTAATCTGATTGATAATCGATTTACGCCTGTATTTATTAGGGCTAATAATTTACTCCTAAGCAAAATTTCACTTCTTTTCTTCATTAACTACGGGATACAGATTTATATGATTCTGTCCGTCCGCCAAACTAGGGATAGAATCCATTTCACGTTGCAAATGCTTCGAAACGCCGCATAGACCAATCATATTCTTACTTTGAGCGCTCCGAAGTGTTTGCGGCTTTGAGTGAATCGTAGTCTGAATTGTAGAACCGTAAATATAAATTGTTATACTTTCCAGTAGTTCCTACATTGAAAATGCAACATTATATTAATAAAAAGTTGAAATATAAATTTTCCGTGTAAACTTTATTTTATTATACATATCTACATTTGCTTTAAAATTACTAGTTTAGATAAATATAATCAGGTATATACATTTTTTCACAGAGCATACATAGCTAAATCTTTACATGTGCCTTATTAGCATAAATAGCAAATCAAAACAAATATATGATACAGATCTGATTCATATTCTGATTCGTATTGATTAATATAAACACCACTTACCAATCATTGTGCTATGTATCTCCACAATAATACACGAAGTATCTATTATTTTAGAGTGTCTACTTTTAAATTTTTGTTAATGTCTTCTATAGCACGATTTATAAGTGATCTGTCCTTATTATCTATATTTGTTTCTGTCTTACTTTTGCTGTTTTTACTAGAACTCACATTGTTGTTGTCATTCAAACTATCATTATTGTTATTTGCTTGTAATATTGGCTTAGGAGTTTGTAACTTGTGTCCTCCATGGTTTGCCAATTCATCAATGGCACTAGTTAGATACTGTATATGAGCTTTTTGCTGCAATGTGGTGTTGTGCAATATCTGTATGTCGTCTGTGAACTTCTTCATCTGTATTTGTCTAATCTCTTCCTTCTTAGCCTCCTTTGCCGTTTGTCTACTGTATTCCAGCATCAAACAACCACCAGCAACACCAAAAATAATTATCTCACTCAACAAGCTAGCACCTAACTCAATCGCCATGGCCTCATTTAATTTTGCTACTTTCGTTGGCTTGCCGAGATTCATAACGTACATTTTTGTTTTTACTTCCAACCAGTGATAAACTATTTATATAAAAGTATTAAGAACAATATTCAGTATATAGCATATAAATCTTTGAAATCATAGGAAAATATACTTACATTGAGCAGGTGGTATGATAACATAAGTTCTAAAAACATGGGAATTCTTTGCTTGACTGACAAGAACTTTGGCCAAAGGTTTACTGATCTGCTTGACGAACAGTACAGATAATTTAAGAACTGGAAATACACCGACCGGCATTTTTACCAATTATTATTATTATTGTTACTGGACAAGCTTTTCATCTGCTTTCTTAATAGTCTGAAAATTTCAATCATATGATATGCACAATTTTAATTAGTTAATATACAATATCAATATGAAATACTAAGTAGTATATTAGATTAGATAATTTGGATGATTTGGGTTATTTCGTAATCATGAATCATTCTAATCTCACCTCTAAGATTAGTTCGAAATGCAATATTACAGAGATATTGCAATTAATATTATGACAGAAATCTGTATAATTCTTCAAATAATTGCTGTGGATACATATCTTTTTACTAATAGATGTTTGCTAAGCTTTATGCAAACCTCATCATTAATGTATTTCCCTAATTCTATAGTTCCACGGGTAATTTATTCCCACGGAGACAGTAGATACTAACTGTCTGGCAGATACCCGAATTTTCAGGTTGATCACTTAACTTCCGACATATTGAAGAAAGGTGCTACAGCTTAGCTGCAAAGCAGAAAGATGGCGTTTTCAATTTGTCGACTCGACGATTTGAACAATATGTTGCGTTCGGGAATCCACACTGTGTGCCACCGGTTAAACACCGGTTGTTCTGAAACACCTAGGCTATATTCGGAAGCATCACTCTTTGATGTGCTTTTGTGACTTTAGTGTCTGAAAGCATACTAAACAGCTATAATTCGCGAAATGTTCAAATACTATTAAAACGGCTGCAGACCAAAGTAAATTAATAATTAGTCAGACCAAAATAAATTAATAATTAGTCACAATGTAAAACACACAAATTCACTTTTCTTTTAACACACTTCGCAGATTTCGTAGATGGCAAATTTTTGCTTGTATTGTTATTCAGCTGATAACTTTGGTTGCTTTTCGGCAAGAGACACAAGTCGACACAAATCTAGTTATATCATCATTTATTGTCATCATTTGCTTATTTTGCATTTGGTAAAGAAAAGGATAATAGGTGATAAGACTATACTTATATCGCCTTTGGCCTCTTTCTGGAAAGCAACCTTTGACACAACCGAAAACTGACCCAAATATAACGGGGCCAATCAGAAATCAGAAATGGCCATACTTTGGCTGCATGTCAATCAATGATGCCAATGCACCAATGCCACAACGCACATACGTCTTTATGGCCGCGATTTGTTGACATGGCGTCAGTAAATATGAAATTGAAAAGAATTTATTATAACAGTTAATATCTCAAATAATGTGTGAAAGTAATAGTATATGATAGTGGTTATTGTTTATAAGGCTAAAGTGAGCAAGTCTACCGCACTAAAGTACTTTTTATTAAAAACATAAGTACATTAGTAACATAATTTATACTCCAGTAAATATCATTGTTTACAATCATCGTTATAAATAAAAGAAGTAATGACATATAGCATAAATTAATTAATAATTATACATAATTTAATATAATGGTATGTATGCATATAATTTAATAATATAACATCATAGGTCAACAATGAGTCCAAAGAGAAAAATGATCACGTCGGATGTGTCGGATGAAGATGAAGATAGCTTCAAGCACCGGCGCAGCTCTTTGAAAGTTAATTTAAGTTACTGCACAGATTTGACGGATTCCGGCAATGGTTCCCTTGGAAGAACTGAAACTGAGAACAATGAAAGAAAGATGGATAAGTCGCAAATTAATAAATTATCAAACAGCAAGCATCGGTCTAATGCTAGCAATAAAATTTCAAGAGCTACAAGTAAAGAGAACAAATGTGCTGAAAATGATAAGAGCAAAGTGTATGTACAAGTCAAAGAAGGAATACAATTGAAACATCTTACGATAAATCTGGAGAACATAAATGCTAAGGAACAGACACTTGATACAAATTGCAAACGCTTAAAAGATGCGATCTTAAGTAAGACCAATGAGATATTTGATAAACAGGATGAGCTTTCTGTTAAAACTACTATGGTATTGGCAAACCAAGAGGACTGTTTTATGAATAATATACATAGCTTAAATGTTGATAAACCGACTATTCAGCGCTTTGAAAACGAAGAATCTATAACATGCAATCAATATAGTGATGTTGCAGACAATCAACAGAAAGAGGATGAACACTTCAATATCGATGCTACACCAAAGAATGTTGAAAAACGAAGAAATTCCGATAAAGCTGTAAATAAGTCTAAATTAACTCCGAAACGATTATTTGCCGAAAAAGACAACAAGCAAGGATGTAAGATTATAGAAGATATTGTCTTGGACAAGCGATTTTCATTGTTTCCCCTTAAACTAGTAGGTCCAAGTGACAGTCCTATACTGAGCGGCAGCAATAGAAGATTACAATTACTGAGATCACAGTCTAAGTTATTTTCGCAAAATCAATCCGAAAATGGTAATAACACACACTTGAGTGCATGCCCTGATCATAGTATTGATATAGGACAGCCTATTATTTGTTCCACTTTTATTGAGGACAATACGAAGGATGAAGAAAGGAATAAGCATCTTGACAACAAAGCGAAGCAACAAGGTGATATTAATATATCTCGGTCTATGCACACGATAAATACATTAGTATCTATGGAAATGACAGAAATTCATAATGGTATCCAATCGCGAGAAGAGCATTCACCTTTGCTAAGCAGGGGTCTATGTAATAGCATTATAAACAGAGGAAAAGGTAGGTCAAGCAACAAAAGCGTGGGACAAAATAAGAGTGTAATGTCTGCGCAGAGATTAGAGAACATTGGTAGTTCTTTGAACAAGCTTACTTTACAAAATAGAAGCATACACTCAGATATTGCAACTAATCACAATGTAACAAGTGCGTGCATAAATACAACAGTTATACCTGTACAACCAGCATCTATTGAAGAAATATCACCCACTATGGAGACACATGATGTATTGCAAGCCCAAGAACAGAATAATCAATCCAGGAAACAAAGTGAAAAGCAACGTACCTTGAATCTCTCTGATGGTACCTCAATTCCATCGTCCTTAAAAGTAAATACATCATTGGATGTAGTGACTGAAACTAGCAAACGGAGGAATGTAAAAAAATCGGATGATCGCGGAATTACTGCTACTGACCGATGTCTTAAAATCACAACTAATAATTCAATAGTTTTGGACAATCGACGTGAAAGTACGAGTACTAATCGTACTTCGTTGCAAATGAACACATCTATGGATACTGTATGTAAAATATGGCAAGGGAAAAATAATTGTCTTAACAAACAATCTCCGATTGAAGATAGAAACAACAAACATTCAATAGATTGTTCAAATGTAGACGATCGAAATTCACCAACAGCTGAAGATACAGAAGAGAATGATGCAGACTCTTTGGAGAATATCAGTTTAATTGCGAGATTAAGAAATATCTCTACGTGGAATCGGGTTTCACACAACGATAAATTGGAAAATTCCAAAACGGGGAATAAAGAAAGAACGAAGGATGTTGGATCTAACAATGTAGTAAGCGCTAAATTTCAAAGTGGTAATTACGCCAATAGTGGCAGTAGAGATAGTCACAGTTACGTCGAAGGAACTCCCTATCCAATAAGCCGTTCAGTCTTGTTCAAAAGGCAATTAAAACATAGAACACAAAATTCAGATAACAGCACAGCGTCCTATGGCAACAATTCTGCTAATTCGGCTAGCGATGAGGAAAATAATAGCAGAGCTAAATCGAACGATTCGTTAGTATACAAAAAATATAATAGATTATATTATTGTATTAATAATTATTATAAATTGTTAAGTAAATTAATATAAGTCTTTTTCTTTATGCCATCAGGAACTCTACATCGACTTCGAATAAGATGCATGTATTGGCTGGCACATCGAAGGAATTGGAAGATTATACAGTTATTTTAGAGGATACACTCATCCGTAATCCTTTCCTTAATCAAGAAAAACCTACGATTATTGAAGATATACGGGATAAAGCAGGACTTGAAATGGATGAAGAAAATACAGCTGCTTTGCAAAACACAGAATACGTCTCAACGAGAAGACATAAGAGGAGATTATTGCCACTTAACAACAATTCTCAGTTGTATTCCATCGAGCAATTAGAGGAACATAGTGACGCATCTGAAAAATCTACGTCTACAAGAAGAAATAAAAAAAAGTTGACAAAAAAATGTCTAAAGAAAAAACCACCAGATTCTAAGAACGACGCGAATAGTGTTAAGGATAATATTGCAAGTGAACAAGTGTCCTTAGACAACTGTGATATAGCTGAGAGTAAGACGAAAGAAAATAAGAAAAACCGGAAACCGAGAAAGATTGTTAGCAAGAAGGTCGTCATAAAAAAATTCGCGAACAAAGATATGTTAAATATAATAAAAGAAAATAAACGAAATAAGGGAGATCTATCGAAGGAGAATGGAGATTCTTTAGAGGATTTCGTAGCACATCGAACGATATCTTCTCAGTGGAATAAGCATAAGTCACAAAAGATCGTCATTGTAACGACTGGATTATCAAAGGGGTAATGTTAAGATCGTAATTTCAAACAACTTTCTTCTTTATCAACTGAAACGGTTCTTAGTGCTGTTTCACAGATCCATGTAATTGCCTTTATAATATATTTATAATGTGTCTTTCAAATTACATAGAGATAAAAGCTTGGTGAAGAGTATCGTGAAATCTCTTGGCATGGCAGAAATACAGTTGAACGTGTCCAGACGAACGACTCATGTGGTGAGCACAGGTGTGCGTACGGTGAATCTACTTCGAGGTATAATAAGGGGATGCTGGCTCATCACTTTGGAATGGGTCCTCAAATCCTTGGAGAGTAACGTGTGGTTGAATCCTGAAGAATTTGAGATGAAACATTTCTCTAAAGCTGTGCTGGTAAAATTTCACAGTGTACATGTGTTTACACGTGCTTACACGCAGCTCTGTCTTGTGATACGCATATGCATATTTATGTATTTTTTTGTACAGGAAAATCGGAAGGACAGACAATTATTTGGGCCGTCGTATATCCCAGAATTGTTCACCGCATGTGGACTCATATACGTGGAACATAAAACCACGCTGCCGTGCGATACACTCAAGGAACTTATAAAGACAGCAGGCGGGTATATTACTGAAAATCCCAAGCTCGCCAGAATTATCGTCGGCGCGGATGGTGGTTTGAAGGAAACCTGGGTTATAGATTCTATTACAACGGGTGAATTACAATCAATTAAACTTTATCAGAAAAAGTGAGAAGAGGTATATATATA